GTGTGTGTGTGTGTGTGTGTGTGTGTGTGTGTGTGTGTGTGTGTATGTGTGTGTGTGTGTGTGTTGTGACACACACACAAGCGGGCTATCTTTGTTGTGGGATCAAATTTACAGACTGCATGGGGTAATAAGCGAATTTTAGTTTATGCGTTCCTCGTATGGCCAAATTCATAAATCGGAAATGATGATAAGTTGATGGAGCCGATATTACCATTTCATCATATTATTCATGTATTCTTCATATTATTATGGGACCACATGGAATCGGTTACTCCATCCGCTCGTCCATATATATCAGGAGGAAGACAATAATAGATAATATCAAGAGTCCATAGTAGAAATTTTCTATTATGGACTCTTGATACTACTTTTTATACCTGCTATTCTCATACTACTAATATATATATATAAACAAATTCAAAAAATAGGTAAAGGGTTGGTGTCAGCTGAAAGCCTGAGGAAGCGATGTACGTCTCGATAGCTCGCTGATTATAATTTAAACACCTTTTAGTTATTTTTTAAATTTGTCTCTTATCTACATGGGTGTTCTTGTGTGATTTTACTTATATATATATTGAGAGGTGGTAGTTGACGTTGCCAGGGCTTATTATTAGAAGTTAGAAATTAGTCAGAAATTATAATTACAATACTACTGTTATAATAATATATTCACCACAAGCGAATGCACTGAATTGAAAGCGTACGGCTCCGCAATTTCATTGTCCATTGCTGCGTGTTTGTAAATTTACTTTTGTAGTCTGTATATTCCTGTCAGCTACTGAGTTGTGGATGTCAAGTATATGGTTGTAACGATGGTAGTAATTTGACAGGAGATGTGCGAGCCACAGATAATAAGATAGTATATGTTAGCCAAACATGACTGTAACTTGTTCTGAAACGAAACGCATGTCCTGTTGCGTTAATTGTCAGACGCGTTACGTTAGTATCCTTACTATTACTAAAAACTAAAAAAACAATGCGTATAGTTGTCATCGTTTAATTATATAATATGTCTACGGTTGTTATAAGCATTTAATTAACCTTACATATACTGTTATTGTAACTGTAACATTAACATGTAGGAACACGCGATAGAAGACTGGCAGAAAGCTAAGTCAATTGTATCGGGAGTATGTTCAGTTTTTTTAATTAGTCGGACAGGCCTTTTCGCGTTTTAAGGAAAATAATACGTCGTCGTATATTAAAATTCCTTTAAATATTTCGACAAACTATCCCGAGTACCTATTTTATGTATGGTTGTTATCAAGCTAGTATCTTTGGACGAGTTATGCAAGAAATAGGCACACACACACACACACACACACACACACACACACACACACACACACACACACATTGTGTGTGTGTATGTGTTGTGTGTGTGTATGTGTGTGTGTGCTGTGTGTGTGTGTGTGTGTGTGTGTGTGTGTGTGTGTGTGTGTGTGTGTGTGTGGTGTGTGTGCGCGCGCACGCTTGTGTGTGCTTGTTAAACGGTCTCGCGCACTTAGAGTTTTTGCCCGACAGACAAATCGATCAAATCAAGCAGAATCAGTGCGAAATTCATTTCAAAACTGAAATATATAAGCGGCAATAAAAGGTAGTTGCATATTGATACCATGGAACAATTCATAATCAGCCCGTGCTTATTCGAAAAGCAACTATAGTGCCTTTTCAAGTAAGCGCATTTGCTTGCAACCAAGCGCATATTTCATTACATTTCCAATATTATAACGCCGAATTCATCCTGCCCATAGAATGGTTAGACAGCTACGTAATATTGCTCCACGCTAATGGCGGTGTCTGTTGATCACACGTGGTCTCTCTCGTCCGACCACATATTCTCGCGTGATCGTGCTCTTAGGAGGCGACAACCGTCGGTTTAACGTGTACACAAGTAATGCGTGACCCTATACGCTATAAAAGTCATAATTATTATGACATTATGCACTTATCTTCGGTCACGGTAATGGAGGCTTCGTCGATCGCGAGTATATTGCTAGATAATGTCGACGATGCATGACGGGTATATATGATGTTACGATCTAGTGCACATATATGCTCACCGCTCTCTTCACGCGCGCATATATCCAAAGCCGACTGGATTGAAACACCCGGGGTAGCGGAGCAGAGCAAAACCTACTTTCATCTCTGCCGCCCGCAATTATACCATACATATAATTATATGTATATACATTATAAACCGATAACTAATGCATAACCGAGATAATTATAATTACTGTGAATATTTCGTCTCGCATCGAACGAACGCCAAGTGTTGTTTGAGCGCAGCCGACGTCAACGCTTTGCATATAAACGGCGAGTCACTAGGCGCTTGCGAACGAACTCAGTTGTATGATTTATATAGGCTGCCTTGACGAAGGAAAAGCTACCCCCTCCCAGCTTCGTGTCGTAATTACGCATGTGTGAGGCCGAAAATGCCAAATTACGCGTCCTCCATCTGAACTCTTGCGAAATTAGAACAAGCCTGAGGTCAATTCGACGATGTACAATCGCATGTGTGTGTGTGTGAGTGTGTGTGTGTGTGTGTGTGTGTGTGTGTGTGTGTGTGTGTGTGTGTGTGTGTGTGTGTGCGGGCGGACGGACGGACGGGCGGACGGCCTGACGGACGGATTGACGGATGGACGGACAAACGGACGGATTGACGGACGGACGAACAGACAAACGGATTGACGGACGGACGGACGGACGGACGGACGGACGGACGGACGGACGGACGGACGGACGGACGGACGGACGGACGGACGGACGGACTGACAGACGGACGGACGGACGGGCGGACGGACGGACGGATTGACGGACTAATATAATGGACGGACGGACGGACGGACGGACGGACGGATGGATGGATCGGTGAATGAATGAACGGATGGATGAATGGACAGACGGATGCATTCAGGCGGTGATGGGTGATGAAACGCAGTGGGATTGCCCGTGACAACGTCGCAGCAATGCCATCTGACACTCATACCGAGCAATCAGGGTTGAAGAAGCCCCAAGGGAGTGAATCGAATTGCAACGAATTTCTCGCTGGCGCGCGCGCGCGAGTACGTCGCGTACATGCCCCGGCGACGTCCTGCTGTGTTTTTACTCCCGACGATGTGTGCTGCATAGGTTCCACCTTCCAAGCAGTCTGTCTCTATAAATGATGCTGTCCTTGATATGATGTCGTACATCGTTAAAATAGCACGCCAGACACACGCGCGCGCTCGCGTTTTCTCGTTGTACGTCAACTATTGCGATTTCATATAGTACGTCGCGTGTGTTGGGAGAGAGGGGAGAGATGGATTGGGAGAAAGCGAACAGAGACAGATACAGTGACAGAGAGAGAAAGAGAGAGAGAGAGAGAAAGAGAGAGAGCGAGAGAGAGACAGAGAGAGACAGAGAGAGACAGAGAGAGAGAGAGAGCGAGAGACAGAGAGAGACAGAGAGAGAGAGAGAGAGAGAGAAAAGAGAAAGAGAGAGAGAGAGA